AATAAGCTGAAAATATGATTAAGACAGAAACACATTGCTGTATTCCTATTTATACAGGTGACATGTAAGAGATTTAAGAGGCTAAGACAAAAACCAAAAAGCTTCATTAGTTAAATATCTTTATCATTTGATATATTGAATCTAAAAAATGAAGTAGAATTCAGTTTCTCTGCATTCTCACCTAGTTCCAATCCCCAAGGATTGGAAGATGTTATCAAGTCACACTGTGATGGATCTTCAAAGTTAGGGCAATGAAGAATGGAAGAGAAGGATGTTTTTCAAAACCCAGTATCTTCTAAGAAAGTGCTTTTGCAAACATTGCCACCTTTAGCTGCACAATAACTGAGCAGGTGACAGATGTTAGGCTCAGAGAAAGTGAGTCCCTTCTCTGAGTCCATATAGCTGGTAAGTGGCAGGTGTGGAACTCACACCTCCAGCTGCCTAGTGTTTTCTCTAGCTTCTGTCTGATGGTTTCCAAAAAGTATTCCACAGAGCCCTGAAGTTGTGGGAAGAGGCCCCAGGCCTCCTTGCTGTATGTGGGAGCCAATTTCCAAGAATCAATTGATAAGATTTGTCTTAATTTGCCTAACCAGCAAAATCCTGAGGGACACATTCATGTCTCTCTTACACCTGTCTTTTCAAAATCTTTATCCTTTCATTCACCCCATTCTTTGATATAAGCTAGCTAGTCTCAATTCTCTCCTCCTTCTGAATCTATTGAATAGTCAGTCTCCCCAGGTCACACATCTTGAAGAACAGGTACTACTATCCATTAATAAATAGAAAGGTATTAATAAAATAGTCCTATTATTCATAAATAAAAACTACTTTGGTGGGTAATAAATAAACAAATACTCCTGGTTGTTAAGTTATAACAAATGTGTTTCCCACCTGTCAGGGAAAGTCTCAGAGACCACCACGGCTGGTCTGTAGTAATGCCTATCTATGCTCTCTGGCACCACCTCAAGTTAATATAAGTCGACTAGAGACAGAACAGGATCCTAAGTCAACTAATAGAACAAGTCAAATAAAACTAACAAAATAAGTAAGACAAACGGTAAGCTGTAGGAAGTATCTTGTTAAAAAACAAAACTTCCTTTCCTTTCTCACTCCTCTGGCCCTCAACTCCATGCCCAAGCAAGGAAATGAGCAGGCAAACATAAAACACAAACCACACAGAGCAACTCTGACTGCCTTCTGACAAATACCTTAGCATCAGGAAATATCCTAAGAAAGGCAGAGAACTAATTATAAGGAGGAAAAAGCAAGAAGGTAATGAATGTAATTTCAGTAACAAACATCCGTGCTTCCTTCCCACCTCTGAACTCCCAGGGAGTCGTCCTTTCCTTAACCTCCATCTTAAACAAACAGAAGGTCATGCAAACGAAGCTAGGGTCCCCGAAGATTTTAAAATAATATTTATTACTATTTTTCAAAACGCCTCTAGCATACTATTTTTTTTTTTTTGGTGGAATTCATTTACATGGTTGAACTTAAGGCAGACCAGAGGAATTAGAAACTCACTCCCAACCTACCCTGAGTACAAAAAGCTCACTATCCAGATGGCCTTATACGGCCAGACTTCCTATAAGGCTGACATTCGGTGTATGCATTGCGTACGGGTCTTGGCTCTGAGTCACATTCCTTCAGCATGTTTTCCTGGGAGCTTTGATTTCCGTTTTGAGGGCTGGCACTAACTCCTGCTTGCTCTTATAAGAAAATGTCTACAAGTAAAAGTTGAAAATGTGCAAGATTCCTGCTTCAGGTACACAAACACTCCAAGTCTTCTGGCCACTTTCCTGTAGTCCTGCCAGGTTTTCTTTTTGTCTGATGCCTGATCAAGTAACCTTTTTTTTTAGGGGGAAGAAACAACAAAAAACATAAGGGAAAGAATGTCATACATCCCCTGTTGAACATCTTGCAAGGCTTAATCACATGACCTGCATTGACAGTGCCCTGGTAGACACGCACACATACCTTATATACCTTAAATAAGGTATAAATAAAGGACTCAGAGACCAACTTACTGAGTTCTTCATTTTACCAGAGGCAGAAGTGCTCTCTAAACAGCGTTTGCTAGTGAAATATTTGATTATAAGTCAAAATGAGTGCATCTTCAACATTTTCCACACAAAGTCAAAGACCTTTTTCTCTCCAAATTCTGACCTGCTGTCATTCCGAAGGGCTGGGATAGGTCTGAGTTGGACCAAGTTGTAAGAAGCCACTATTTCCACTTTACCGCCCAAGCGCACACAAACATTTGCTGACTCATTTGTAATAGTGTAAGAATTCAGATGCCATGGCATGAATTGAGAAGTGAGTGTCAGCCTTTCCCTCTGAATTTCCTGGCGCTTACTGGTCTGTATCACAATAAAAACATACTTTCCAGTCTGTGAATGTCTTGGGTGTCCTCTTTGCTCTCTCTCTCTCTCTCTCTCTCTCTCTCTCTCTCTCTTTCTCTCTCTCTCTGAACCTATGCTTACAGCACATTTTTCTATTCTGAGATATCATGTGTTCTGTATATTTCAATATGCTATTTCTTCTTAGCCAATATTAAAACTATTCACTTGGAGCTAACTATGGAATTATTGAGGTTTTGAGGTGTGAATATTATAATAACAAAATCAACTTCATGTTAAAATGTCTTGACATTTTAACACCGGATCAGACTACTAATTCACTCTATATATATATATATATATATATATACACACACACACATATATATGGAGACAATTGAGAAAGAAAAATAAAGCACCTATTTGCTGAGAATCTTCGTCTACTTAGCCCTCCTTGAACGCTAAGAAATTAAAACCTCTTGCTATCTTCATTTTATAAATGAAAACTTGGTAATATGGCTCTTACTTGTGACTTCCCTGAGATTCGTGAGTGGCAGTTCCAAGAACATAACCCAAGTCACCCAAATCTAACCCAATCCAGCGACTTATTCCTCCATGAATGAATCTCTCTGCTGCATGCATGAAGCCATGGGTGGTGGCTCTCACATTGTCCTTAGGTTTCAGAATTCCCCAACTGCTCTCTCTTCTCCCTCACACTACAAGCTAAAGAGCACGTCAGGCCCGCATCCCATCTTAGGTGAGGCTCACGCTTCACATCCCTCCCCTTCCCCGTCACCCCACCTTTCCAAGCGTTAGTGGCAGGTATAATTAGAGGTTTAGGTCTTGAAAGATTTCACTGTGGCTTTCCACATATTTTAGACTTTTAAAATCATCCACACCAGAAGAAAAGGTTGGGGGCCAAGTTGCCTTTAATACACATGTGGCTATTCACATAACTTGGAATGTTCCTTCTTTAAATAGGAACTCTCAAGCCTCTTCTCTTTGGGGAATGCTTGGAAAGAAGATTAAGAATGATGAAAATTCTTCCTGAGCTTCAGAGGCCCTTTGCAGGCCATTTGCACTGTTGACATGCATCTCCACTGTTCAGCATGTGCACAGATGATGGGGTCTGTGCTGAAGATGAAGTGCTCATTTTTTTTAACCTATTTTTCAATAGGATGAATTGAAACTTTAAAAAAACGGGTCAGTTTAAGTAGGCGGTTTTCAAATGATAAACCTATAACTTTTTGTTTCTATGGTTTGTCTTTACATCAGAAACAGATATGCTTACCTTAAACCTACATTTGGAAACATCAACAGCTGAGAGGAATTCACTGATTGGTACCATCATGTCAAAGATGTGGCATTAGAGAATCAAAAACGACCTGGCCCTCAAATAATTCTTCATGTAAGATGGTCATTGGAGCTATTAACAAAAAAAAAGTCAATAAACAACATAAATTCTAAAGGAATACACAGTTAATCAACTAGGTCCTAGTATTGCTAGCTAAATACCAATATTAAAAGATGGAGATATGCTTAGGTTTATTGGTCATATTTGACACCTGCACACAAGCACGAGAAATAAAACCTCTTCTTTCCTGGACTTGATTTCCCCCTCATGAGACTGCACACTCCTTGTAAAATAGGAGGTCTCAAACACTATTCATAGATGTAAGAGGAATCACTCAAACATATTACTTATTGACATTTATTTTATAACCAGACACAAAAGGGTATACTGTTCTTACTATATAATCAAAAATTTTACTTCAAGACGAAGTCCAATCCACTTTTGAAGATTAGAGATTTCCTATAAGTAAAATCACTCACTTCTCAAAGGTCTTAGCACAGTTGTCTTTAAAATGTCCAATGGAACCCTAAGCTTCTGGCTGGCCTCCCATGTCTGGTTCCCTCTCTTCTACACCTCTGTGTCCCCATCCTGTCACCCAGAGCCTCTACCTACCCAAGGCGTGATCATTTGCTCTGATATAACCATAGACCCATTTTCCTGGAAACACTGGTGCCCACTCATTCCCTCTCCCTCCTCCAACAATAAAACTCCTGTTTACTAAGAAAACAAAGCCAGGGTGCTGGAACTCTCCCCCAGGCACCCGCATGCTCACTCAGACCCCTGGCTTTGTTCTCATCTGGCTGTGGGACCACCAAACCGTTATCTCCAGGGACCAAAGACCAAACACCTGTATTTCAGATACAGAGTTTTGTAGGTAGGAATCTTGAGGATTTTAAATGGTTAAAAGTAACTTTCAGTTCTCTATAGTTTCAAAAGGAGTCTCCAGCCTCTCAAAAGAAAACCATCACAAAAACAATAAAAAAGGAACCCTTTAGAATTTTTTAGGCAGCCCAGCCGTTTTTTTTGTTTGTTTGTTTCTTTTCTTTTTTTTTTTTCTCCTCCTTCATTTTCCTACTCCTTAAAAAGGATTTGTGTAAGTGGATAGAACAAGGCAAAGCTATTAAAAACAGAAAAGGTATAAGAAGTCATAATGACCCGTGTGTTTTTTAAATGATAGAAATCAGGAAAGGTACGAAGAGGCTAGAAGAAAAAATATATCCTATTTGGTGCTGGCTGAAAATACTGCCCCTTTTTTTTTTTCTTTTTTTCTGGTGAGCTGAAGTGTGCCAGCTTTTTCAGACGGAGGAATGTTGAGTGTCAAGGGGTCAGGATCAATCCGGTGTGAGTTGATGAGGCAGGAAGGTGGGGAGGAATGCGAGGAATGTCCCTGTTTGTGTAGACTCCATTCAGCTCATTGGCGAGCCCGGCCGCGGCAGCGTATAAAAGCCCGGGCCGCCCGCCCAGCTCACACAACAATTCTTCCCGCTGAGAAGAGGCAGCCGGAGCCACTCCAACCCCAGGCCACCTCCGACCGACCGACCGACCGACCGATCGCCGCCAGCCCGACGGCAGCAGCCCCGACCCACATCCCGGAGACAACCACCGCGCCCACCTCCGCCCATCGCCAGCGCCGGCTCCCGCCGACAAACAGACAGACAGACCGACCGACCGACAGCCCACTGCGCCCCGACCATGACCGCCGGCGTGGACCCAGGCGCTTCGCCTTCGCGCTCCTCCTTGTGCTCTGCACCCGGGTAAGCGCCGGGAGCCCTCGCTGCGATCCGCGGTGGAGAGGGATGGAGGGAGGGATGGAGACAGGGAGGACCGGGTGACGCCGAGTGAGCAAGCGAGAGAGCGAGCGTCCGCTGACCGCCCCTTCTCTCTGCAGCCCTCCTCCGGCCAGGACTGCAGCGGGCAGTGCCAGTGCTCCGACCCCGCGCCGAGCTGCCCGGCCGGCGTGAGCCTTGTGCTGGACGGCTGCGGCTGCTGCCTAGTCTGCGCCAAGCAGCTGGGCGAGCTGTGCTCCGAGCGCGACCCCTGCGACCCGCACAAGGGCCTCTTCTGCGACTTCGGCTCCCCGGCCAACCGCAAGACAGGCGTGTGCACCGGTAAGCCCAGCCGCCGCCACCTGGTGTCCCACCACCTTCCCTCTCTTGCCCAACCGCTCCAAATGAGTCCTTTCTGCAGCTGCTTGCAGTCCTCACCTCACCACGCAGCCCCGACGCCCTAATTGTTCGAGCGCTGGGTCCCTCTATCTGACTTCCACCCCACCCCCTTTTTCTTCTCCTCCTGCAGCCAAAGACGGCGCCCCCTGTGTCTTCAGTGGGTCTGTGTACCGGAGCGGAGAGACCTTCCAGGACAGCTGCAAATACCGGTGCACTTGCCTGGATGGGGCGGTGGGCTGCGTGCCCCTGTGCCGGATGGACGTTCGCCTGCCCAGTCCTGATTGCCCCTTCCCAAGAAGGGTCAAGCTGCCTGGGAAATGCTGCGAGGAATGGGTGTGCGATGAGCCCAAGGACCACACAGTCGTTGGCCCTGCCCTGGCTGGTGAGTTGAGGCTTCCTAAGTCAATGTTGTCATCTTTACCCCCAGGGCTGAGTCCCAACTATGCCAAGGGAAATTATCTTATCCAGGCGTTTTACCTTGTGTTTGTGTGCTCTACTCTCACAGCCTACCGACTGGAAGACACATTTGGCCCAGACCCAACTATGATGCGAGCCAACTGCCTGGTCCAGACCACAGAGTGGAGTGCCTGTTCCAAGACCTGTGGGATGGGCATCTCCACCCGGGTTACCAATGACAACGCCTTCTGCAGACTGGAGAAGCAGAGCCGCCTCTGCATGGTCAGGCCTTGCGAAGCTGACCTGGAAGAAAACATTAAGGTACATGCCCTGCTCCTATTAACTCATTTTCATGGAATGACAGTGAATAGGACCCAAGTGAGGTCACTAGCCACCCTTATTATAGGCTTGTTATCTCCCAAAATATCTAACCATAGAGCTGTTTTGCTGGAATGAGAGATTGTGTAATAGGAACTGCCAGTTTTCCACTACAAAATCTTCCACAGTGTTAGTTAATTCAAGACACTCCAAAAGAAGCCCTGGCTATTTTAGGAAAACTGGCAAATGAAACTCAAGAGTTTCTTCAAAATATAAACAGAAGCCAGACAACCTAGGACTAGAATTCAGAGGGTGGGGAAAGCCACTCCCCTTAGTAATTGATGTTTCTCTTCTCCCTTGTCTTCCTTAGAAGGGCAAAAAGTGCATCCGTACCCCTAAAATCTCCAAGCCTGTTAAGTTTGAGCTTTCCGGCTGCACAAGCGTGAAGTCATACCGGGCTAAGTTCTGTGGAGTGTGCACCGATGGCCGATGCTGCACGCCCCACAGAACCACCACCCTGCCAGTGGAGTTCAAGTGTCCCGATGGTGAGATCATGAAGAAGAACATGATGTTCATCAAGACCTGTGCCTGTCATTACAACTGCCCTGGAGACAATGACATCTTTGAGTCACTGTACTACAAGAAGATGTATGGAGACATTGCATAAAACCAGAAAGTGAGAGACATTAACTCCTAAGACTGTAACTTGAACTAATTCACATCTCATTTTTCTGTAAAAATGATTTCAGTAGCACAAGTTAATTTAAATCTGTTCTTCTAACTGTTGGGGGAAGAAAAATTCCCACCCATTTCCAAACATTGTGCCATGTCATACAAATAGTCTATCAACCCCAGACACTGGTTTTAAGACAGTTAAGACTTGACAGGGGGACTAATTAGCGCACAGAACCAGAATGTATACTAAGGTGTGACTATGGGAGCAGTGGAGACACCAGTAGAAAGGCTAGTGCCATCAGATGTCATCTTAAAGTAGTAACATGCCTGCTATTTGCAGTGTAATTGAGGAAGAAAAAAATAACATGCACACAGACCTGCCTGTAGCTCCAGGGACAGCTAGGATGTGTGTTTTCCACCATGGTGAGGCTGACTCAAGTTGTTCTTAGAACAGGAGATTCAGCTGTGACATTCTGATTTGAATGACAGTAGTCAGGAATCAGAATCCTGTCTATTAGACTGGACAGCTTGTGGCAAGTTCACTTGCCTGTAACAAGCCAGATTTTTATTGATATTGTAAATATTGTGGATATATATATTTGTACAGTTATCTAAGTTAATTTAAAATTGTTTGTGCCTTTTTGTTTTAAATGCTTTGATATTTCAGATGTTAGCCTCAAATTCTGAACACCATTGTTAGGGTGTAAAGCTTGTCTGATAATTCAAAGCCTGAAGTGGATACTCAAATGGAAATTGTAATCAGTTAGGGTGACAGTTCATCAAAACATATGATTTCCTACTGGTGAGGCAGCGATGTCCTTTAAAGTCTGATTTCTACATAGGAAATGTAATAGCCTCACTTTCGGTGAACAAATGGCCTTTATTAAAAAAAAATAATGACTGGATCTGTATAGTTGGTCAGATTTCCACCCAGAAGCATTTGTTTCTATTTGACTATGACTGTTTTATGGACAGTTTATTGGTTGAGAGTGTGACCAAAAGTTACATGTTTGCACCTTTCTGGTTGAAAATAAAGTATATATTTTTTCTATAAAGGGTTTGGAGGCTTGTTTATTCCTATAAACATTTGTGAGTTTGCTTGAGTATAAAGCCTTTGTTTATCTTAAGATAATTTACCAATAAGTTTCTAAATACCCTTTATCTTATATATTAGCAGACTGGTTAATCAATAGATTTTTACATAGACGTACTTCATACAGAATCAAGTGTCATGGCTTGCAGATTCGCACACCATATTGAGCACACAGGCATTTTTGTTATCTACATAGCAGTTTATGAACACTTTAAATTCAGTTCTCTATGGAGGATTTCAGTCTGCCCTTACCCCTAAGTATTTTGCTGGTCCTTTGTATATTTAGTATCTCTCTGGCTATTGTGGGCTAATTTCCAATTTTTCACACCACAAACTTCTGTGCCTTGCATATGGAAAATGTTTCAATATTTTCTTAATCTGTATGCTTTACTGTGAGTCTGTTTCTGAACTTCAAATGTGAAAAGTATACAATGACATATCATTAAAATGGGCCGTTTAATGTCTTATTTTACCCAATTCTATTTCCCATTGCCATAACTAATGACACATGATGGCATAACAGAGAAGATAAGCCTTCTTTTTTCTCATTAGCATTAACAGAAATTTTCATTTAAAAGCAATTCCTGCATATTCTAAGACTGATTTTATCAGGCCTCAAGATAATGTAGTCTATATTACCAAGTGGTTTATACGTGATAAAATGAATTGTTCAAGAACCCTGATGTGGAATGGAATTTTACTCAGCCATAAAGAAGAATGAAATTTGTCATTTGCAGGTAAATGAATGGAAGTGGAGAACATCATCTTAAGTGAAGGTAGTCAGGTTCAGAAGGCCAAAAGCCATATGTTCTCCTTCATATGCAGATTATAGACCTAAAACAAATGTAGCAATATTATAATACAATGGTCACATTAATGAGAGGCTGTGCAAGGGAGGAATAGGGCAAGGGGAAGAAACCAAAAACTTGAATGTGGTTGATGTGCTCACTGTATAAGAATGAATATAGAAATCTTAAACTTGATGGGCCCCCACGGGAAAGGGACTAGGGAGGAGTCAAGAGGTCTGGTAGAGATGAACCAATTGGGGTTGTAATACATATTTGCATGGAAACAACACAAGGAATCTCCCTGTGTAGCTACCTTCATATCAAGCTAACAAAAACACCATGTTCCTCTTACTAAAAAAGAAAAAGGAAAAAAAAAAGGACCCTGTTGTGGAAACAATACTGGATCTACCTAGGCTTCTACTTCCCTTGAAAAGTGAACCAAAGTAAATGTCAAACAAAAGAAACACCCCAAGTGCAACTAGAAGCTCGCTTTTTTCCAGATGAGAATAGCTGTGGATTCCAGCAGTGGGGCGGGGCATAACTGTGGACAGACTAATCTGTCCTATGGCAATTAGCAAGGTTGCAGTCACTCAGAGACAAAAATATGCCTGAAATAAAGACTAGTTCTACAGTGTCCACACCACAAGCCAAAGGCAAAACTTCCCGTGTTCAAAATGTGAAAAGTATTTCTGGTAACAGCGTTGGCCTTTAGGATATGCCCACTCGTGTACATAGCAACACTGTTAGCAACAGCACTCCATTTCCCCAAATAAGCACAGCAGCATGAACACACACGGGCACAAGCACACACTGCACTGTTAGTTGACATTTCCTTTCTGTCATCGGATGCCTGCAAAGATGAAGGGCTATAGTAAACAAGTCTAACTTCTGAAAGGAATCAGAGAATTCTGAAAAAAAAAAAAAAGAAGCAGTAGTGGAAGTATAAGGTTCAGATTTTCCAAATCCCCACATAAAAACAGGGTAGCTAGATTACATAACCAAAATCCCATGAGCAATATTTGTAATGAAATTAGAAACAAGATACCCTTTGACCCCCAAAATGTGAATGAAGATGAATTGTCAACTACCAGAAGGCCTGCACTGTGTCAGGATGGGTGTGGGAAAAAGCAGAAGAACAGCAGAGATTCTGATGTTTCTGAGAACAAGAGCACCCCAAAACAATGAGCCCAGTACTCACCAGAACAACAGGCCAGTTCTGAACAGTGCTGAAATTAGAAGGTGTTTGGGCCACTCCACCAAAGTTTACAAGCCAAGTTTACAATCCTCAAAGAGAGGATACCCACACTCGGGATTAGAATCACAGTTGAGCAGGTTAGGAGTGACAGAGACTTTGAGAGAGAAGATTCAATAAAATGGGAGAACAGAAGCTCAAAATCTCAGTAAACCACCCTACTTTTAAGACTGCATGAAAACAACAAAAGATGGAGCTCTGTGAATTTAGAAAAGCTTCTTTATACCATACCTTTTTCCTGAAAAAAAGTTCAGGAAAACGAATTTCATATAAATTAGACAAATAAAATTATTAAAGCCAAATCCCATACAAAATTATCACATTTAAAAAAAGAAAATAGAGGGCAGAATCACATTCAAAAAATACATGCACATAAAATAGAGCAAAACATAACTTCCTATTTCAAAAGAACACTAAGAGAATGATGTCAGATACAAATGATGAAAAACAATAATAGGAGGGCTGGCAGAGTGGCTCAAGTGGTAGAGTGCCTGCCTATCAAGCATGAGGCCCTGAGTTCAAAACCCCAGTGCCACCAAAAAAAAAAAATAAAATTGACATGAAATAGCAACATAATTCAGAATTAGCCAAACTTATAAATATGATGCAGTTAGAAATAAAAATGCTGACTATAAAGAACACAGAGTAAATAAACAGATTAAAAGGGAAATTTTAAATACAATAGAATAAAAGTGTTTTAAGAAAAAGTAGTACATATTGCAAGCAGGTAAAGAAGATCCAATGTATGGATAGTAGGAGTTCTTGAGGAGGAAAATAGACTATAAGTCAAGAAAACTACTGAAATAAAAAATGATGAGAAAGTACACATTGAAAAAATGAAAGCACACTGAGCTTTATAAGTACAAAGAAGCTTAACTCTTTATCATCTGAATTTTTGACAGCAATTCTTTATGCCAAAAAAAAGTGGAATAACATATTTAAACTACTTAGGCAACGAAATGTGAGCCAAAATGAATTTTCATCCTCCACAACTGACCTTCAAGAATAAGGACACAGGAGAGAGAGCCAAGGAGCATAAACACACAGTGAAAAAAAAAAAATCACAAGAGGAAAGAGAGTGCTAAGAATGAGGCATCAGAAAACAAACAAACAGCAAATAACAGATACGGACTTGCAAAGACTGGCAGATTCTTGAGTCTGGATCCACCATCTAAACAGGATTGCTTGATATGTTTAAAAGAAAGGAAAAGATATTTAGTGTATAACTGCTATAAAAATTATGAGGCAAATATAAAATCAGATAGAATGTAACTTCTAGAAGCAAAAGAAAAACAGAATCAAAAAAGTAATAAATAGTTTAAATGTCAGACTCTGGGCTGGCAGAGTGGCTCAAGTGGTAGAGCGCCTGCCTGACAAGCATGAGGCCCTGAGTTCAAACACCAGTGTCACCAAATAAATAAATAAATAAATACCAGACTCTAACCAAAGATAGAGATTGCGATCTGAAAAGAAGACTGAAGGAGTGGTCCTTAGTACTCCACAGAGAGACAAGCAGACACAAGAGAAGAGAAAAAGCTAGAGAATGAAGAGTCAAGGGAGCCAATCTCACCTCTACCTAACAAGTGTCATGGAAGGGAAGAACAGAGAGGACACACAATCTTGATAGAGACATGGCTGGACAATTACTGAGGCACAGCCATGGTTATACTTCACCCCTCAATATTCGGACATATTTCAAGAACAATGGCATGCTCCTTTCCCCAATACTACTACTGCCTCAATACCCAGTATCAAGGGCCCCACATTTGCTAGGCAGGCACTCTATCACTTGAGCCACACCATCGGCCCTTTTTTGCTTTAGTTATTTTTCAGATAAAGGTCTTGTGTTTTTGCCCAGGACTGGCCTCAGACCATGATCCTCCTACCTGTGGCCTCCCACATAACTATGACAGGCAGATGCCACCACACCCACTCCCCAGAATATCTTTCTATATTAGATAGTAAGAAAGTTGACAACTGACATTAAAAATAATTCAGGAGACAAATTGAAGAAACTCCTACTAAAAAGGAAGCAAGTGAGCCTCAATAAGGAAAAGAGCCCATTCACTATGCTACTATTCATTTGGTAAGGTCACCGGGGCCACAACTCTCAGAAGGGATCAATACAGTTGTCATGGGGCCCTGTCATTGCCCATGAGTGAGCTGTTAGAAAAAGAAGCCTGATCCCAAAAACTCTTCCTTCCTGTGACTGCTGTCTCCCCTTCTCATGCCCTCCTGCCATGCTGTCATCTTCTATGTTGTGATGTAGCTAAAAGACCCTCACATGAGGCTGAACAGATGGGGCTGCACAATCTCAGACTGTCAGCATCCAAAACTATGTACTAAATAAAATTCTTTTAAAATAAAGTACCTAGCCTCAGGTACTTTTTTGGTACCAACAGAAAATGTACTAAGATAGGTACCTTCTGAGACTGATAAGGCATTTATTCAATGTACATAAAATATAATTTTTCTTTTTTTAATTGTGCTGGGTGGGGGTACATTGTGGCATTTACAAATGTTCTTACAATGTATCAAATATATCATACTCCTTTATCCCCTTGCCCCCATTCCTGGAATTGTATCAACAGGTATAATTTTCCCAAAAATATAATTTTCTGTGATGACTTTGGTACCATTTTTGATACACTACACATCTCACAGTGACTCAGAAGAGATTGGCCCAATCTGTACCAAGCTCAGACACAACCTAAAGAAGGCTTTGAAAAAAATAAATCTTTTAGCCAATACAATTCATTTCATACTAATCAGTTTAAGGTAATTTATATTCTTTTAATAATTTTCTATACTTTTCTAAACTTTGTGAAATGAGCATGCATTATTATATAAAGACATTTTAAAAATGAATATTTAATCTCTTCATTAAAAAACAGCAAAGAATATACCAAAATTGTTAGAGTT